GTTCAATGTAAGAAATGTGTTCATGGTGTGATTAATAGGACGGACGCAAGGACGGGGTTGAGTGGTGGTATTGAAAGAGTGGAAAGCTTTGTTTACTTAGGGGATAAGCTGAATGCGGATGGAGGATGTTTGAGCGCAGTTACGGCTAGAGTTCGTGTGGGATGGATGAAATTTAGGGAACTGGGTGGGGTATTGTGTGGAAAGAAATGGTCAGTGAAGATGAAAGGGAGGGTATATAAAGCATGTGTGAGAGCAGCGATGGTATATGGTGGTGAAACTTGGGTGTTGAGGAGAGAGGAGGAAAGTGTACTGCAGAGGGCTGAAAGAGCTATGGTGAGGATGATGTGTGGGGTTAAAGTGAAGGATAGGAGGAGTAGTACAGAGCTGATGTCAATGATGGGACTGAATGAGGACATTGTGACATTGATAAGGAGATCGAGATTGCGGTGGTATGGACATGTGTTGAGAAGGGATGAAAGGGTCGGGATTAGGCGAGCGTTGGAGTTCGAGGTTGAAGGAGTGGTAGGAAGGGGTCGTCCGCGATTGGGATGGAGAGAGCAGGTGGAGAAGGACAGGGTGAAAGCGGGGTTGCGTGATACTGAGGCGAGTGACAGATGTGGATGGCGTCGAGGGGTATTTCGGTTTCATCATAGGTAGCCAAACGTCAACCCCCGATCTCGGGGAAAATGCCGTCTAAACGTGTGTTGTATTTGTGGTGCACGTTGTTTTATAATGCTGTTGAGTTTCAGTCATCGTTCATTTACTAAAAACTTTTGTATCGTTAATCGTTAGTTTTCTTCTTTTTAAATAATTTACATTGTTTTAAATATTTGTAATTATATATAAATTGGTGAATAAATGTTCAGCTTACGGGTGTAAAAGTGATTGAGGTAGTTCCATGTCACAATCGACTGTTACTCGAATGCATTTTTCGTCGCTATCCCCCATTATTACTTCTGTATTTCTCCATCTAAGAATGCGTTTTTCTAAGTCAATTTTGAACCCATATTTTGTCAGAAAGTCGACACCTATTATGCATTCGTCGATGATATCCGCGACTAAGAATGAACCTTCGAATAACAAGTCGCCTAGCTGAACAGTACGGAGAATCTTTCCATAGACTGGTGCTGTTCCTCCGGTAGCTGTTCGAAGGATGTATTTGTTAGAAGTCTCTTTCTTCAGATTGGGTACCAAATCAGATCTTAAAATCGATTTTGTTGCTCCGGTGTCGACTGTAATTACGCATTCTCGTTGATCAACTTTTCCGTTCAGCCATAAGTCGTTTCGATTTCGATGTAGTCTGGAAACGTTAATTACGGTACTGGGGGCGTCAATTCTACTAGCCAACCTCTGCCCCACAAAGTTGGCTCTTATTAGTTTTCCGCCCCTTCGTTAGAAGGGGCCGATCGTGATACGGGATCATCTTCCCTTCTCTTGCGCCATCTTGTCGCGCAATTTCGGCAGTAGTTATCTTTTAGGCGGTGTTTACAATCACGACGTAGATGGCCTTTTTCGCCACAAATCCAGCATTGGGGTACACCATGCTGTTGGGGTTCGCGTTTCACAACCACCTTCTGGCAAGAGCATTCTTCATGTACTTGGCGTAGACGTACGTCACTTTTTTATGCTTGCTTTGCCGATTCAAAAGTGAGACTGTGCGCAACGGCATCCTTGAGTTTTCGTTTATCTGACAAGAGAAGGGATTGCTTGAGTTCCGAATCACGAAGGGCTTTGATAAACGTATCCAGGGCAGTTTCGTCTCTATGCTCGGGATCTGATGTCGGATACGACAGCAATGTCAACCGTTCGATATCTTGTGCCAGCTGCTGAATGGATTCACCAGATCGTTGCGTTCTGTTTCTAAGTTGAGACCGATAAATCTGTTTCATGTGTTCTTCACCATAACGTAAATCCAACGCGCTAACCAGAATTTCATAGTTGAAGTGGTTCTCCGCCGGAATCGTCTGAAGAACCTCTGCTGCTGAACCTCGCAGGGCCAGTATCAGTGCTGTTGCTCGTTCTTTTCCGTTCCAACAGTTACTAGTTGCCGCTGCTTCGAACTGGCTTTTATAAACGTTCCAGGACATCTCCCCGTCAAATGCTGGTACCTTCAAAGTTCTTCTGGATGCATGATCTAACGGCATGGCCATTTTTTTGGATTGCTCCAATTCTCGCTTCAATTTGTCTATCTTGTGATCTACCTCAACGGTCTGATAATCAAGTTTTTGCTCGATCATTTCTATTCTTGTTGACTGTTCTTCAATCTGTTCTGCCACTTCCAATTTTACGTGTTTTAGCTGGTCCTTGATCTGTTTTAACTCCTCGGTCTGTCGTTCGGACTGTTCCTTGATCTGTTGTTTTAACTCTTCTGTCTGTCGTTCGGACTGTCGTTCGGACTGTCGTTCGGACTGTTCTTTGAT